GCTGCGCATGAACTTCCCCTACTTCTACGTCGTGGCCTCCGTGATGCTCAACGTCCGCCTGCAGGTGCGGATCGAGTGAGCACCCGCGGCCACCTCCAGGCCGCGACGACAGGGCTGCAGGCATGAAGAACGGCGGGGTCCGGGGCCGGCGGGACGCGGCCGGGAAGGAGGAGGGGCGGCCCGGGCCCCAGAGCCCGAGACCTCCGCGGAGGACAGGGCCACTGAGCCCCCGAGCCCCCGAGCGCCAGCTCCGGTCACCCACATCACGGCCGGGGACAGACTGCACAGAAACTGGCAAGAACGGGACCGTTCCGTCGAGCTCCAGAAAATTATTTGAGTGCAGCCGACCTGTTGCCTCACCTTGGCCGAAGGCGGGGAGCAGGAGGAAGAAATTCTGCAGCAGGAACGTGAATGACTGGCCCTGACGGAAAAGGTAGGAGGCCAAAGGTTGGACTTGCAGGCTGGAGGGAGGCGGTTGCCATGACATCTAGACGTCCAGGCCCCTTGGTGGTTTGGGGGAGATGTGGAAGGGGCCCGAGGAAGCCAGCCCAGGAAGCTTCCAAGCCGAGAGCTGGAGAGGCAGGGCAGCTGCAGGTCTCTGGACTCACTTGTCCTGTTTCCAAGATGGGGTGAGGGGCGGCGGCCTCCGCATCTCGGAGGGTCAGCAGTTCACCTGCGGAGGCCCTGGCGTCCCCACCTGCCCATGGCCCCAGTGGTGTCACTTGAGCACTAGGTCCGGGGAAGGCCCTAGAGTAGAAAAGATGCTGCCACCCCTCCCCTCCACCCCCTGGGAGGCAGCCTGGAAGGATGGTTGTGTTCCGGGCCAAACCCCAGGTCTGTCTCCTCAGCCCTTCTCAGAACCGCCTCCTGCTGGGCCTCTGCTTCTGCTGTTCCTGGTGCTCCCCTCCCCGCTCTCCGAGGGCTTCCTCCAAAGCTCCGCATCTAGGGACAAGGAAGAGTGGGAAGGACACGCTCCTCCCTGTTCCTCCCACGGTCTTGCTCTTCTGCCACCTCAGCCACGCTCCCTCCAGCTCCTGCCGGGGCCCTCCAGGTGCCACAGAAGCGGTCCTCCAGCCCTGACAGCCTCCAGCAGCTCCCTTGTCCCAAGGATTTGGGAAAATGGGAATCTCCCTGAGTGGAGGGCAGCTCTCAGTCTGCGGAGGGAGAGCAGGTGGAGAAGGGGCTTGCAGAGGAGGTGACGCTTGGAGAGACAGGCACCTCTCTGGGTGAGGAGGCAACTCTGAACTCCCCATCTCTTTCTTTCAGGAACTGGTGTTTATAGGAGGTGACCCACCCCTTCTCTGGTCTTGTCAGGAGAGTCAGATCCCTGCCCCGGGCACCCCTGGTCCTAGAGCTGCCTGGGTAGCAGCCTAGAGAAGGGACTGACCCAGGAGAAGAGGCAAGGCCTTCCAGGCAGAGACCCCGAGTGGGGTGGCCCAGTGGTCCAGTCCTGGCATGGGGAAGGAAGGAGGGACTTAGTGACACACACTCTGGGGAGCTCTGTTCTCCCCGCGTACTGACTGGGGAAACGGCTCTGGAGGGAAGAGCTCTGCCCTTGTGACACACGTAAGAAGTGGGGGAGCTGCATCTGCCTCTAGGCCTGCACCCCCCCACACACCAGTCTTCTGGAATGGGGGGGGAGGGGAGCAAGGATCCCAGGGGACCCAGAGAGAGCGGGGCCCACAGAAGAGAATGTGGCGAACTAGCTTTCATTAGGGTGTATGGGAGGCCACCGGGAAGGCCAGGGGACAGTCTGAGCTGAGGTGGGCACGGGAGAGATGAGTCCCAGGACCCCTTCGGGTGCTGGGGTCCTCGCCCACAGAGCCTGGCCTCCCCATCACACCCCACCCCAAGCTTGACCAAGGGCTCCTCAGCGAGGAGGGGCACAGGCCTCTCAGTTTGGGTGGTGGAGTGGGGAGGGAGGGGCTGTTGGGTGGCTCCTGGGATCATGGTGTCACCAGGAGAGGAAGGGTAACCTGGGTGGGATGGGCTGAGACCCAAGCGTGACCCCATCTTTCTATCCCCAGGGCGGCCCCCATGCCGAGGATCACACAGGAGAGTCTCCTCTGGATGGGCTTGGATTGGTCCTGGCTGCGTGGCTGACTGCAGACTAGCAGCAGGGCAGAGGGGAGCCAGGAGAGACCCTCACTCATGCCTACCCAGTCCCACAACTGCTCTGGCAACTGCTTGCTCCTGGTCCACGTACCTAGTGTTCCTGGGACTGAGAATCACGGCAGCCTGGTGGGCCCTGGGGACAGAGTGGCCGAGCCTCCCACCATCTGCCCTCCTTAGCTGCCCAGCTGGAGCACAGGTCCTGGGTGAAGATCTCTGCCTGCCCCTCCCTGGGGCCTGAGGCTGGTTGGAGACCACCACGTGCCCCCTGCGGATTCCACAGATGGGGCCTGATGGCTTCCTTCCTTGTGCCAAGTTGCCTGGGAGCCCCTGATCCTGGTGTCCCCTCCTCCACCCCAACCCTGTCCCCCCTAGGACCACTTCTGGGAGCTCACTAGCCAGCTGACTCCATCCATGGATCTCCAGGGACAGCCTCTGAGAGACTGACATGGGGCTACGTGGGAGGAGAGTGGCAGGGGATGAGAAACCTTGGGAATGATACACAGATGTGCCCCTTTCAAGCCCAGGTCTCACCCTCTGGGAGACTTGATCCCCAGCTCCAGCCTCTTCCTGGGCCAGCCAGGCAGGGAGGAGGAGGCTGAGAATGGCATGAGAGAGGCTCTTCACTGACCGTGTGTGGGAGAGTGGGTGTGAGTGTGAGTGTGCCCACGCACACACTAGTGGCTGGGCATTGCCGCGGGAGTGGAGCCATTGAGCAGGGTGAGCTGCGCTGGGTGCCCTGTCCTCCCTGCGGAGCTGCCTGGGGCCCAGGAGGCCACTTCTCAACAGAGAGAAAGCGTGCTGGAGCCTCAGGGGCCCCTGGCCTCGGAGCCCCCGCCCCTGCAGAGCGGCCGCACCCCGTGGGAGGGCAGGGGAGGTCTGCGGGGGCCCTGGCTGGGGCTGGCTGGGCTCCAAGGGACTGTCCCAGGAAGGTGAGAGTCCCTGCCCCTGCTTTGCTTACCGTTTGGCCTTGAGTCGGTAGCTGCTTCTGCTTTCCCGCCTCTTCCTTGTGCCCCCACTGGGCCCTTGCTGCTTGACGGGCCCTCCATGCACTTTATTTATTTGCAGTCTGTTTTTCAGGCAGTGAAGCTTCAACAAAATCAGAGACACCGACTTGAATAAGATGACTTTCACTTTTCTGTGATTAACTGTGCACCGGTCAGCACAGTCAGATCAGAGAAAAGTTCTTGTTTCAGGTGTTGTCAAATCTTATTGTCTGTCTAAGTTAAGAAGAGTCCTCTGAGTTCAATAAAATAAAATAAACGCTGGAGGCCTCCTGTTTCTGGTTTGGCGCAGCCTTGGAGGAGAGAGGGGCCAGTGGGGAGAGCGGCCCACCCTGGTGGCCAGGAGCTGGGGGAGGGGAGCCCCCTGAGGGCTGTGAGGGGGCGGGGCTGTGACAGGGGACTGGGGCCTGGTCAGAGGAGGCTCTGAGACCGGGCTTGACCTGGACCTCTGCCCCCATCAGGAGAAGGCGGCAGCACAGGCCTGGCCCAAGAGGTGGCAGGTTGTCCCAGTTTGTTCCAGTCACAGCCTTTATTTGAATCACCTAACACCTAAGTCTTTCCTTCATTTTAGAGCCTGGTGTTAGAAAGCGCTTAATTCAGTTGAACCCCGAGGTGGGCTGGGGGAGGTGACATGGAATGGACTGTCTGCAGATCATTTTGTGTCACCCAGAAGCCTGTCTGCAGGAGCAGGTGACAAGGTCCCCATCCCTCCTTGCCAGCGGGTGGTGCTGAGTTTTGGAGAAGATGAGCCTTCCCTTCCCTGACCTTAGGCCCAGGCTGTCCAGTCAGATGCCGGGCCGGGGCTCCGAGGGTGCAGGGGGGAGCTGGGCCGGCACGGGAACGCAGCCCCCACAGCAGAGGAAGGATGGTGGGGAGGACACAGAGGAGGCATCCTGAGGACATGGGGTGTGGTGACACCCTGGGGTACAGCCTAGGGTAAAGGGCCCTGGGGCACTCCTCACCTGTCACCAAGAGCTCCCCAGGGGTCAAAACACCTTGACAAGAGGGCCCCTTCCAACATCTGCCACCACAGGAAGGAGGGGTGGACCCCACTCCCAGCCAGTGCCCTGAGCTCCCACTTCCATTGTCCAGATGGTTCTGTACAGTCCCTGCTGGTCCCATACCCACTTCAGGGACCAGTAGCCTGGAACAAGCAGATGGGAAAGGATGAACCGGCGCCCAAGGGTGAGACACTGATGAGAGAGGACCGCGTCCTCACTAGGGAGGAAGGCAGGCTGGCTCATCACTCTCTGGTCCAGAACAGCGCCTGGGAGACCAAAGACCTGCGCCCTGAGCCCAGATCCTCCGCTGACCATGGTGGGGCCCCAGGCCAGCCACGGGCACTGGTGCGTTCTCGGGAAGGAGCCTTCAGGGTGGTGTGGGCCTTTAGTGATGATGTTTATTCCACACGTGTCTCAGGTCGCAGCTGGAGCAGCCCTGTCACCATGAGGAAAGGAAACCATGTGAAGGGAAGTGACAGGTGATGAAGCCTTAGGAGCTGCAGGCACCTGCTGGGTGCTTTGCTTCCCTAACTTCATAATCCCCACCCACGGCCACCTGTTGGAGGAGGTCACGGAAAGGATGTCACCACAGGCTGTCCCGCGAGCTGGCCCCGGGCAGTCAGAGGGTCCTCACCCTCCCCTGTTCTTGGGATACACGGTCCACCCAATGTTCCCACAGCTGGGGCTGATTCAAGGATGCAGCCTTGAGAGAATGAGAGAGGATCTGGCCTGAATATGTGACTGAATCCCGGGAAGGTCTCTGTGCAAACTTCTGAGACTCTGGCAGGTGGGTGGGGAGATCTACTTGTCTCGTGCGCCCAAGACAAGCCTTGTCTGTAAGTTCCCTGCTTATTAACCTGGTCCGCCTCCCAGTCTGGAGTTGTCTCCCCTTGCCCTCCGTGCAAGGGCCAGTTTGCAAACTAACACTACCATTATCCCCATTTTTCGGAGACACTGAGGCTTGGAGCCCAGTGTGAACTAGAACCCCCAGCAGAAGCTCTTTTCCTGAGGCCCCTGTGCCCCCTGCTGCACGGGGAATGGGGCTGGAGGGGTGATGGAAGGGCGGAGGCTGAAGATGACCCTGGGCTTTCTGAGCAGGGGCCAGGGACAGGTAAGAACCCGCGGGCCTGGAGGCAGAGCTGGGGGCCCTCAACGTGGAGCTCCCCAGTGGGAGCAGCTGGGGCCACGCCGAGGTGGGCCCACCCATCACCTGCCACCTCTGCAGGCTGGCTGCGCTCCAGGCAGCGGAGTCCTGGCGGGGAGGGCGGAAGAGCGGCCGGGAGGGCGGTTCCAGGAGCGCTGGGCCAATAGCGTCAGAGCGCGAGAAACAGAGGCCGCGAGGAGCCCCGCCCACCCACCCCAGGGGGCACCGCTGAGCTTGGGTGAGCTTGCACTTTTGTGTGTCTTTTATATGTGGGGAAATAGGAGCATATGACTTTTTTCACTCTCTGGCCTGAATTCTTCCTGCTTAGCTTACTGTGTGGTTAAGTCAGTTTCTGCTTCCAAAGCCGCACGGTATCGCTCTTAGGAAGGCTTCATCATGTACTTCGCACTGTCTCTTGGTTGTTTTCCTTTGTCGTTGTTTCTTCAAGGGGTGAGTTTCGGGCTGTTGTTGGGTTCTGTTTGCTTTTGTTGCCTTAATTTGTTTGTTTGTTTGTTTTTATCAAAGATGCGGGACCGATGTCGTTATGGATAAACGCTGTGGTGCAGTCACGGTCAGTTTCTTACCCTGTACTCCTGCAGGTGGACCCAAGTGTGTGCAGGCCTTAGGGGTCTGGCA